ATTTCTTCGTGAGGCAATTGAGTGAAAATTTCCTTAATATCGTTCGTACGGACTTCAAATCCGCCGTCAACCATCTTTTCACCATGCTTGTTAATCATCGCAACTTCCTTCTTTAAGTCACTAATTGCCCCCATGTTGAAATGCGGTAGGGTCACGCGTTTGATAAGGGAGTTAAGTGTCGTGGACAAATTGGACAACAGTCCCGACACGGCACGAAAAGGACTGTTGAAGGAGGGAACTATCGACCGCTTCTTCATTTTATCCTTTTCTTTCGACAGGATATAAGCATGCTRCAACTTCCCTTTATGATCCCATGGCGCAACCTTGTCGAAAAAGCACTTCACATACTTCTCCTTCATCCCGAAAATCACTTCCTCCTCTGATTTCTGGATCTGATCATAGTTCCCATATTCTAGGAACATCTTACGGAGGCCTTCCTCATACAGTACCAGACACTCAATCCAAGTTTCGTTGGTATTACGATCCAGCGGGGACAGAACCAATCCATTGAGGGATTGCCCCACCCCTTTCACATACTCACTGAGAACACAGTCTGCAGGTCTGGAGATGCCAGGCTTGCAAACAACCAAACTTTCAATCCGGATATCCTCGGTAACCAAGCTGGCTTTCCGAAGAACATCTAGAGCATCATTACAGGCGCGAGTCAGCACATTCTTGGTGGTATGAGTGCCTGGAAAGGGCACATTCTTGGCGTTAAAAAAGAAAGGATGAATACCGGCGACTTCACTGAGCTTAACTGCGACATGCCCATTCAACCGAGGCAAGTCGAACCCAACACATGCGCATTCAAAGTTCCGCGCCTGCGCAAAGTTTTTTTCAACTTTTTGGTTATGCAGAAGGTCGGCAACTGAGTGGGCTTTCAACCACACAGTTCTTGTCCTTCTAGCATACAGGTTAGCTWGKGATRTTGGCTGCACTTTGTCCTTCACCCAATTTTTAACAACCATCTCCACCTWCCTTTTATCAACCGTAGTWCAAAAYGGGATTTTCACCGTAATGCTCAGCCTTGGATTAACACCAAATTTACGCTTAAACACGTTGGTGAGGATTCCCMTGACAATTTGCCTCCCTCTCCTTTGGTTAATTGACTTCACATTGTCATTCAAATCRAWCAGCTCCTCCAGCGAGAGARTATAAAATTCTTTCCTCTTCCATGGTGCCCGCAGCAAAGCAATCAGGTGTGCTTTCTTAATTTCCGTCTGGGTCTTTGTTTGAACAATGGAGGTAATTGCCTAGAGCCCCCCCTGCTCAATCAAAGGCTTCACATCCTTAAGAAGCAGCTTCTCATTATTAATCTCAACTTCAGAAAAGCCAAATAATAGCTTTACTAACCTCCAAGCTTTCAACCATCGGTCCCCTGGGTTATTACATACCCCTGCCTTCTTATACTTACCCTTAACCAGGAGTTTCAGGATCCGGAACAGATCCGGTTCCTGCCTCACATCTGTAGTAGGACAGTTAAAAAACAAAGGTTCATGACAAACAGTTACTGGAGGTTTTTGAGAATCCTTTTTCCCACGACAGCGGCGGGGTTTTCTTCTACGAGTTCTTCCTTTCGCATTCAGACCGGGATTATGGCTCTTAATTATCTTGAGCTCCATGCCTTCCACCACCAGTTTCTCCCCAAACCAGATTGGAATAGGTACATAGTGTTCAAAGCCGATTTTACGGATCCATACATGAACCTACTGCCTACTAACACCTTTAATCGCACGACAGTGCTCATTCCACCTTTCCTTCACAGAGCGCACTGTCTTACCAACATATGTGAGCTTATGACTAAGAGACAGCAGGGCATACACACAACACTCGCCCGACAACAATTTGTCCCACTCTTCAGGCAACATCCGCAGCCAGAAGCACACATACGCTTTTCCCCACGCTATGTCACCGCGCAGGCATGCAAGCATTATGATTAAGGAATGAATCTAATCTAGGAGAGCACAGGTGGGACCATCAACACTGCATTTTAATCTAGTGATTCGATCAGCAGCTCGCCTCAAGGAGCGCAGGCTCCCAAGAGCTACTTTCTCGTTATAGTGTCGTCTTCGCCAGCACCATCCACAAGGCTATCACTGATGACGGCAGCCCTCCTTCATGATGGTTCAGCTCCTCTGGTAAGTGCGCCCGCCTTGAGCTGATCTGCATACTCCTGGAGATCCAAGCGTGCGAGTTCCCACATCTCTTTGCGAATTTATGGAATTTCCTTCTCTTTACAGAGCTCCTGAACCCTCGTGTAATGCAGCGAGGTATAAAAATCCTGGCGCATCTTCATATAGGCAGCCAGACCATCTTCGTAAGCTTCCTCTTCCTCAGTGTTGACATAATTCTTCGCAACATCCACGTCTTCATGGTCTTCTTGCTGCGGTTCAGGTTCCTGTTGCGGCAAACCAGCAGTCTGCTTATCTTTCTGCTCAGCCAGGCTTTGAACCAGGGCTGACAACATCTTCTTGACCTCAGATAGGTCACTGCTACTCTCAAGCTTGACGCTCAGGTTTTGGTTTACACCCCCAACCTCGCCTTCTTCATCGGATGAGATATCCACCCTTCGTAATCGACCTATTCCGCTACCTCTAGAGCGAGACTTGCCAAGGTTTACTCTTGGAGTAACAGCCGCAGCCGGAGGAGCAGCCCCACCGCGCTTTCGCTTCTCGCTACCCGATTCCTTTGCTGCCATCTCGCGGGCAGCTCTCTCTGCTCGCAGTTGCAACAGTTCCTCCTTCTCAACCGTTGCAATCTTGGATTTGGAGTCGACCTCCTCAAGCCTCTGAGTTATGAGCTTGAGGGAGTTACCGAGGRTCGAGGTTACCCAAGCCTTCATCTYGTCRCTTTTGTCACTTGMCCGAACCTCCRAGCGGCAGCGCTCGTCTGTATTGTCGGAAATTCGAATACCAYTGCTMCTTCGGCCACTTGCTATCTTCCGCTTGGCCTCGTCAAGCGCCCTATTYGACTTGATGTCTTCCAAAATGTCCATATACTCCTTAGTAAAGTAGGCCYTGTTCCCARGGCYAGGAAACGCATTCCCTSCCRGCCCCTTCCTRGAACTCGAGCGGTTATCCCCGGTGTTTGAMGCTTGTCCGTGCCCYTGCTGATTGCTACTCATTGGCAGCGCCGACAGGTGGCGCAGGTAACGCAGGAGGCTGTGCGGTTGGTGCCAACGGTGCTATTGGCACCGSCTGCACCGCCCATGGAGYCGCACCTGGCCACTGAACGGGCCAGTTYTGCACACCCCATAGCGGAGCGGCTTGCTGTGGTTGATACTCAGGTACCAGAGCCGTATTCAAAGCGCCCTGCATGCCGGAACTCRCTTGCGCAGCTGGTATCATCGGCAACGCWGGTTGGTTTACAATCATCTGAGGCTGTACCGAGGGTGCAGGTACATAGACGTTCGTYAGGGCCGGATTATACTGCCCTGCCCCTTGGTTCTGGATCTACCGTTCATGTCTGTCCAATAGCGGCYGYAATTGGACCACCTTCCGCATCGGCTTCCACCTCTACCACTCCGATTGCGGCTGTACATAYGCACTAGTACTGACAAYGCAAAYGCTACACCGCCCAACCCAACAACCCMGRCCCACTTGAAATCTCGGCTCCTCGTGTCAACRCAGAGATCTGCCGACCRGAACTTCCAGATCATGCGATTGGATGCGAAGAAAAAATCACCCCGGCTTCGCTCCAAAGGTTCGTCAGGAGCACGTGTCAAGCTGACTCGAAGACACGCTTCTTC